CCGGCCCGGTCTTTTTTAAAATAAAATTTTCAGGCCCGACCCGGATTTTTTAAATATAAATTATATTTATTTTTGATTTTTATAGCTAATAATAACGATTTCAAATATAGGCTGTTTTAAAATATACAGTCCGGCCAGGATATTTTTTTTAAAAAATTTTCAGGCCCGGCCTAGATGTTTTTTTTAAATTCAGGCTTAGCCCGGGTGTTTTTTATAAAATTTCGGGCCCGGCCATACGGTTCGGCCCGGGGGCCGGGTATGTAGGTCTCTGAAAAACATACCATGAAATACAACTTTTTAATGTAGATTGAAAGGTTTGGATCTTTTGAATATTCATAGGCATTTGACAACAAACAAGGATGAGATAATTGAAAAATTAGCTCAATCCCAACGTAGATTGGATTTTACATTGTAAATATATAACATACAAAATACAATTATTCCCTAAGCTTTTTTGTGTATTAATTTATATTTCTAACATTTAAATTTTTTATACTTTATATATAAATTTTAAAGCTCAAAAAATTCAAATTTCTATTTTGGGTCATTTAAGTGATTCTTTACATATAATTTTTTTATAATTCTCATTAATTTAAAATTGTGTATTAGAAATAGTTATTAGTCCTAATAAATTTATGCTTGATATTTTTAAAAAACAATAATATTTCTTAAAAAATTTTATTACCCCCCCCCCCCCCAGACCAAATTCCTGCGTACGCGTATGCTGCTATATATACCATTATATGGTTGGTCGTTGGATTTTTCACTATTTGAGAGGAATACTATTTATAGTTTTATTGAAACGACCTTAATTTTGTAAAAATAGCGGAGGATCAAGGGAAATATTTTAATATTTCGCTTATTAGATGCATCTGTTAGAATTGCATATGTATGACCATCTTTCAAATCGTAAAGAATTGACTTCCTGGATTTAGGTCCTAAAACATTGATGATAGCCTTGCTCATTTTTGTTCTACAAGTATAGTTTTCCTTTATATTAGAGTCGTTAAATATTATGGGAAAAAGATTCTACCAACATTGTGATGATAAGTATCTCTGTGAATGTTGTACTACAAGATAAGTGATTACAATTGACGCAACTGTAGTGGCATCTGTATTATTTCTTATTTTTGGAATACCTTATTATATATTTAAACGTGATACGTGATAATTAAGCCCCTATCCCTATAATGTTATACACACACGGTAGTTTTCTAATTGCGGATGTTTTGCGGAAGACATTCGCATAAAATATATTTTTTACATTGTAAAATTAAATTCGTTTGTTTTTTTATAAAATTTTATCTTGTTTATATTCTTTTATATTTAAAAAAAGATCTATGTTTTTTTTTATAAATTAATATATTTTAATAAATCAAGATGTTATTTTATCTTGAAAAATAGTTCCGACTATGTATTTATATAAAATAATTATAAAAAATCATAGGCGGATAATTAAGTCAATTCAAAATCCCGGCCCGGCACGCAAAAAATTTTTTTAAGCAATTTTTATATTTCTACCGCAATTTTTATATTTCTCCCGCATGATACCAAATTTCTCCCGTAATTTGAAAATTTTGACCTGGCAACCCTGATCACCTCCAGTTCTTAAATAATAGTAGTTTGTAATAATATCAAAATATACTGGTATTAATAATTTAACTAAAAACTGTTTTACAAAGAAGAAGAAATTAGCTTTCCTAAAAACAGGTAAAAAGAGAAGAAAAGATATCTACTATTATATCCATTGTGGAATAAATAATAAAATGTTCACTTATTAATAATATTTTAAAAAAATAGATGACGTAAAAGGATTTAATGCAAATTATTACTTACATTTATTATCAAAAGCATTTATTAGTAAAATTTATTAATATATTAACTGTAATATATTATAAATACGCCTGTAAAGGTGGCATTTTACCTAATATTTTATAACCAATTATATAGGTTAAATAATAGTGATTATACCTTTTGGTCAAAATTTTATATTAACATTTTTTTATATTATTTTAACGTTACATTTTTTGAATATCAATTTGTATTAGTTAATTTGTTATTATTTAAAAAAAGATATATAAAGAGAAATTGTTTTTGTTGAAGAGAAAAAATAAAAAAAATGTAATTTATCTTTAAAAATAAAAATGTAATTTATCATATAATAAAATTTAAATTATGATTAAAAATAAAATATATTTATAATCAATATAAAATGTGATATAATTATCTATCAAATAATAAATGTGGATTTTAATTCAATTCCAACATGGAGGCCAATCTACGTCTGAACTTTGCATAAGTATTATCTCAAAATTTGATCTTGATTTTGCAATGTACATTTATTCTATTTTACACCTTTATCGATTATAATTCTCTTATGATGGATGCTTTGAACAATCACATATATGACTGAATTTGTCAAGCTGGATTTTCCCAAATTTAGTAGCGATGACAGCGCCTACATAGGGAAATTGCAGAATTTCTTCAACACCAGCAAGATTTAAACGGAGAAAAGGCTGCTTTATTTCTCCAAAGTCTTCCAGATGACGAATTCAATAACATTGGGGCAATTTGCACTGAGGCAAACTTCCAGGATCCAATCGTTCTGCTTGGCAAATTCAAGCTACAACATCCATCGAAGACTGAGAATGCCAAATTGTCATTATTTTATGCTGCCACTCAAGGCAAGGAGGAGACGTTCTCGGCTTGGGTCACATGCGTAGCACGACTCAATAAAGAATGCAAATTCAATAGCATTCAGTGCATTATTGAGAAAGTGAGGTTTGTTTGAATTCCAGCATCTGGTGGCCTGGAATCAACACTGACATAGATAATGACGTTAGAAATTGCGAGTCATGCAATACATGGGGAGATAATCCAAAAAAAATACAACATGCTTGGACTGCCGTTAATAAACCTTTTGAGAGAATGCATTTAGATTTCGCAGGGCCGTTTCTGCAAAAATACTGGTTGGTAATGGTCGATGCATACAGCAAGTTCCCCATCATTAAATCGATGAACTCCATAACGTCTGAACAGACTATCATCGAATTGATGAGAACTATAAGCTTGTTCGGGATACCTGAACAAATCGTTACAGATAATGGCACCAACTTTACCAGCAAGTTGTTTGAAAAATTTTGCAAAGACCATAGGATTAAGCACACTCGAACGTCAGCATATCACCAGCAATCCAATTGGTGGAGAGGATGATTAGAACCTTCAAAACACACATGAAAAGAAGTCTGGTAAATAAAAAGGTAGATGAGAAGATCGCACTAGAAAGGTTTTTGCTTTACTATCGGAACACACCTAATGCTGCAACAGGTGTTGCACCTAGCAAGAGATTATTCCTGCATACAACAAGAACTGCCTGAGATTTGCTAAAACCAATAAAAATGATTGATAACTTATTAGAGAAAATCATATCACCTGCAAGAGCTTTAGAGATTGGTGACAAAGTGTGGTACAAAACGTTTAGAGACAACAAATGGCACAAGGGCATGGTCACTGACAAAGAAGGTAATTTGTTATACAGAATAGACACGGGGTATGCTAAAATCAGGAGGCATCTGGATCAGATTAAAAAGAGATTCTCGAATGATGTTCCAGTAGCCACGATTAAGGACAAAGGCTCACTAACACCATCTATATTCGATAGGCAAAATGACGGATATCCTACAAGGTCTATCATAAGAGAAAGGGGCAATATGAAAGAATCAATGAATCCAGCTATAAAGACTGCTCGATCGGTTAGATTTAAACAAATACCCAAACATCTGGAAGATTACATAAAGAACGTCAATAGAGTTACCACCCAACTTATCCAAGGAAATCGTAAGCTGAATTTCTTTGGAGGGTGGAATGTTAAATAATAGTGATTATACCTTTCGGTAAAAATTTTATATTAACATTTTTTTTAATATTATTTTAACGTTACATTTTTTTGAATATCAATTTGTATTAGTTATTTCTTTATTGTTTAAAAAAAGATATATAAAGAGAAATTGTTTTTGTTGAAGAGAAAAAATAAAAAAATGTAATTTATCTTTAAAAATAAAAATGTAATTTATCATATAATAAAATTTAAATTATGATTAAAAAAAAAATATAATTTATAATCATAAAATGTGATATAATTATCTATCAAATAATAAATGTTAATTCAATTCCAACAATATATAATAGAGGATTATAAATTATATGTATACTTACTTCATATAAAGAAATCTCATATACTTATTTGGACCTTGAAAATAATTTTAGGAAGAGGCATGGTAATTAAATTTAAAAATGATTAATATAGTTGATTACTGATTTTGAACTCGGCTAATTCAGGGGCGTCGCTAGCTTTCATAATCTCAGGGTGCTCAACTAAAAAAATTTATAAGGGGGGGCTTCGCCCCCATGTCCCCCAATTTGCGGGCCTTCGGCCCGTTTTTATATATAATATATTATACATTTTTGAAATTTTTTAACTCTGAACAATTATTCTGAATTTCATATTTTGTCATTTATTATATTGCATACAAAATAAACTGGCATATAAATAATTAAAACATATAAAACATTTCTAAAAATAATATTTTTTAATACAAAATCTATTTATTACAGTATAAAATATTTTCGATAGCTGATATAAAAAAAAATTGCGTCTAAAGTATTACAAGTGATAAAAAAGATTATTTACATATGTCTCAATTGATAATGATTTTTCAAAAACCACATAATACAATAATATAATTCTTAGCAACTTACATTGACAAAAGGTTATCAAACTAATATAACTCTCTGTTACCATTTTAGACATGTTTGATAGACTTTCTGAGAGAACCAAGGATTGTTCTTTTGTATATATAAATCTGTTATGTAATAACGCATGGGATTAGGCACTTAATATTACGTAAGGTAAAAAAATTAATGATTTTAAACTTTCAAATCTGACAGATATATAATGTCAATCATCTCAATTTATTAAAAATTTACTTTATAAAATTTAGAGCACCAAATATTTAAGTTACCACCATGGGACTTAATGCTGAGGATAATTTCAATCTACTCTCGATTATCATTGATTTGAATGAATTGTATTGGGGAAACCTAGAAATTTTATCGAAAAATAATAAGGATAATTTTTTATTAAATGATTTTGTTCTTACCATAATATCATTTTCAAATGCATATTTAATCAATAACCCGTTAAATCATTTAAATATAATTGCTACTTCCACATCTAAAACGAAAATATTGTTTAATAGTCTTCATGGTATTAAATTTACCAATTCATCTATAGAACTTACTAATACTTACACAAACTTTCAATATCTTCATAAACTCAAAGATATAACCATTAGCAATGTTAAAGAAATGTTTACAAATGTGAAATTAAACTCAACACATGGTACACTAATTGCAGCTCCAGTATTACAAGCCTTATCAATCATGAATAAATTTGAGAAGCAAATATCTCACATCGGTACTATAAATATAACTAAATATATAGTCTCATAATATATTTATATAGGACAAAAGAGCATGAATCGTATTTTGATTATTAAAACAGAAGGAGATGCTCCTAATCAATATATAGATTTAATGAATGCCATATTTGCAGCACAAAAAATGAATGTTATGATAGATGGTTGCATATTAGGAAAGGATTCTGATATAATTCATCAGGCTACATTTATGACAGGTTGATTATTAAATTTTATAATTTTATTTATATTTAAAAATTGTAAACAACTCTTAACATGTATATAATTTATATTTAGTAATATAAAATCTAAAATTTTTTTCTGATTTCTATATAATACCTAAATATTTATGTAAATATTTCAATGCTATCAGATACTGCTAATTTTTTCAAGATGTCTTATTTATATTGAAATTATTTTTTTTAGTTTTCAATGGTAAAATAATAATATAATAAATATGTAATTTGAAAATCAGTATTTAAAATGATATGTTGAAAGAGTTTGTACAAATTAATACTTAAAATTTGAACAAACTCACAAAGCTCCTCCCCTTCCCTTTATAAATAATTAAAAAATAAATATTAAACATTGCTAAATAATATATTCAAAATATTATGTTTTGTTTGAATTTTTATAAATTCTTCATCATTTTAAAGTTAAAAAATATTTCTCATCTTCCACAAATAATTTCTCACTTTTAATAAATAAAATGTTATTCTTTATCATAGATTTCTGATTTAGACAGTTTTTGAATAAGAATTTGGACAGTATTTAAGTTAAATGTACAGTTTAACAATAATTTGATAAATATTTTAATTTTTTAAAATAAAAATTCTATTTTTAAAAATATCACAATTTTATATATAATATTTTTATCATAATTTAAAGAAATATATTTACATAATTCAGGCTCAAATATAACGAAAGAAATTGAAATATATTGAGATTTACCAGATTATTATGAAGGACCTGACTAAAATGGAAAGGGCATGTATCTGGATTAGAGATAAAATATTTAAAACTGTTCATGAAGTCATTGGGGGCAATTGTCTACATATAAATAAAATTGATATACAAGCAAGCAGGACTGCAAACCCTGAATTAGAACCCTTAAAACCATCAATATTTACTGAACCTGAACCCTTTTATAAAATTAGGGGTACAAGAATTTTTAATATTAAACTTTTATTTATCTTAGAAAATATTAATATATATACATATATAAGACTACAAATATAAATATAAAAAACATGTAAATTATTTAAAACATAAACATATTTTTTGTTGAATCTGCTAGCACATTTTGTAAAAAAAATTATAATATATATTTTAGGAATATTATTGTTTGATGGATTAAATTAAACATAAGCCAAATAACAAAATCACAAAATAAAATAGTTTTAAATATTAGTAGCAATGAACTGTCAAATTTAGTCATAAAAAATAGCTATTTTCATTTTAGCATCTAGATTTTCAAAGATATAAAAAAGAATAAATAGAATTATTTTTTAAATTATATTGTATTATTATAATTATGATGATAATTATGTCTATATTTTTAGGATTGTGAACCCTGATTAGAGCTCAGATATTTTACTGAAATGGAACCTCTACCCTTTTTTAGAGGGAGAGTTCACATTGTCCTACAAGCAAGAGGGTGAAAAAATATTTTAGGTATAAACTAGCTTAAAAAAAAGAGAGGGAGACACTGTATGAGAATTTATCTTCTTTTGATAATATTATAACATTATAAGTGTTACAATATCATGAAATATTGTAAACCTCTTTCAGGCCAAAGACATAAGGATCCTAAAAGGTTAAGAATGACTGTTGTTTAATTACATTTGAGTTTAAATTTACTACAAACCTTCTAAAAGAATGCATATTTTAAGATTTGCTCAATCATAGCAAGTAAAATAATAACATTATTTCAATACTGGTTTGATATTTAAATGTTAATTAACAAATTTTTAATATTTTATTGGTAAGTTTCATATGATATAATGAGATGTCTATTATAAATAATGCACATTGAATTGTATTTTATTTCAATCATATTAATTTGAATTCAATAGCGGAATCCAAACTAAATTAAGCATTTGTATATAAAGAAAAAAAATTATAATGAGAAACTCAATTTATTATTAGTTGAGATTGATTCATTTTATATATGATAACTTTTTAATAATAATAAAAAAACTGGCTGGAATTTTTTTTAATTCACTGAATTTCTTTTACGTTCAAACTTTTATAAACATTCCCAACGAATCATTTTTTTATTAAGATGGCAATACTGCCCAAAATTTTATAAGTACTGTCCAAAATATTAATATCTTTATAAATAAATATCGGAAATACATTGATACCAACTTTTTAGCCTATAATGATATCACCAATGCTAACATGTCTAATTTTAAACCTTATTTTAACTTATAAATAATGGGATTTCGTTAAAATTATGACTACTGATCATCAAAATTTTTACTTATGATCAGATCCAATATTTTGCGATTTTACTACAAAACTGATCAGATACCAATATATTGATTATTTTATCTATCTTTGAACAAATATTATACCACAATCAATATTTTTAAAAAAACCGATTAACTTTTACGAATCATTAAGTTATATTTAGTTTTTTATTCTCCAAAGTTAATTATCTCATTTAAAATATAAATGTTTATAACTGAAGTGTTGTTAAACGCCTAGATTTAACCGATTTTTAATAATGCTGAAATCGAAGCCAAAATATTATTCCCTAACCTATAAATTTTGCCAGTAAATGTCTAAACCTTTTTTATCATTTGTGGATCTCCAAGCTTTGATAATGCACTTTTCGCTAAAATCTTGAGTTAGCCGTTTATCAACACTAATTGAATGTGACTCTTTGGCTATGTTTAAATCCTTTTCTTATTGAAAATAAAATAATAATATCAAATTTTTAGCTGCCCCTATCTTTAAAACAAATCAATTTTTTTTTAAATTACAAATAAATGGAATTTTTGTTTTTTTTAGTTAAAAATGGGATATAATAAAATGGTTTTATTTAAAAAAACGAATAATTATTTTTAAAAATAAACAAGATGATTTAATCATGTCAACCCTGGTTTAGAAAATGAGGATAATTATTATTTTTGGATATCGTAAAATTTAAAGTATCAACCAACACTGACCACTACCGGGGGTGAAAGCAGCAATTGCTGGCATTTCCTGCACCTGAGAATCTATTGATGCTCATTTCAGCCTTTGGCGAGGTCCCATTTAAAAGCTGGCTCATAATTGAAGCTTACAAGAATTATTAAATTTCTGCTTAAAAACTATATTTTTATGTATTTCAGATGGAAAATATTTTAAACTCCATAATTCGGACGATAATGTTAAAAATGTATTCAATGCTACCCAAAATGGAGACAATGATATAATCTACAATTATTCACTCTTAGAATATTTATTTTGGTTATATCTGCCTAATAATAACGAATTTCGATCCAATTTCATATTACCACGCGAGGAAAATATAGATTTCAGAGCCATTTGCTTTTGCCATAAAGACAATCGAAAGCATCTCGACATAGGGTTCGTATGTTCATCGTGTCTCGCGGTATTTTGCAGTTTTACCCCTATATGCACAATGTGCAATGTGCATTTTAAAATTCCAAAGTAAGTTTTTATTTATCAAAATTTGAAATAATTACCTCTTGATCAAATTTGAAGTAGTTGCCTCATGATAATAATTTGATTTAAATTTGGATGCCTTAATGCTCAAAAATCGTCAAAACTAAATTAATCAACTGCGATAGTCGAGATAAAATTTATTAATAATCCTGATCAATTATATTTAAATTACTCTCACATATTTTTTAATTATTATGTTTATGTATTTGTATTACTTCGTTTATATAAAATCCTATAATTGTATGTGTAATTGGAGACTAAAACGATGGCATATAGTAATCACTATTTAATAAATTGATACAGAAAGATTAAATTTATAAATGTGAATTCAATTATATACAAGAGCTTTGGATTTCAGTTTGGCATAAATGAAATGGCGTGACTGGCCAAGATTTTGCTTTGTAAAAAAAAGAGGAGATTAAGAATTTGGTTTAATCTAATTAATTTTTTAATAGTGACCATTAACTAGTAAAGTCGGCAAAATTTGTGATTTATTTTAATAAATCGCTATTTTATATTTAAATCGCGATTTAAACTAAATACTAATATTTTAATTTGAAAAGTTACAGATTTAGATTGAAAAATATCATATATCATAATATTCCTTAGTATAATATTTCTTTTTATAATTTGATATTTTAAAAGCCGACTGTCAATAAAAATTCGATGGTATTTGCCAACTGTTAAAAAAAATTTAACTAGTCGATATCAGTGAGTCAGAAAGAAAGTCATTCATTTTCTAAAACGAATTCTATTATGAATATCCTCAAACCAAATTTGAAATTTTATTTTTTTGACTAATAAAATAATGATAGTTTTATTATTTTTAATTTTAGCTACTGTTATTTCCCGATTAAATGTCTTAATGCATTAGCCAAATTTAAAATATTCGTTAAAACTCTTAATAATTTAAAATAATATTGATTATTGTTTTTCTGCAATCGTTTAGTATGTCCCAAAAATAAATATTTTTAAAACTCTTCCTTTCCTCCCTTTTTCTGATAGATGCTATTTTAAAATTATATTATGATAAATATTGGTTAATAATACCTTTTCAGAGGATAAATCTATTGTTATTAACAAAATATTACACAAATCAAATAAGCATCTAATCATTTTTAAAATGCATGGTTATTTGACAAGATTTTAAAATCAACATTATGATACTTTCATCGACACATTTATCCTATTTTCTAACCCAAAATATGTTTCATATTTAACAAACAATGAAAGCGAAGTGGCGGAACTTGGCTAATTTTATATCTTCAACCCCCTTATTTATCAATCATGGTAGAATTCTAAGCTACATCTGACTTGTTTAATAATATTATGTTTTCAAATAAAATAAAAATGAATGATGGTTAACAGGTTCAGATATTTTACTGAACCAGAACTTTTTTAGAAAGGGAATTCACAACCCTGAATTTAACAAACTAATTATTTTTATTAATAAACCAAGTTATATTCTAGATACCTGCAATAACCCGCATTTTTTGAAAAACATAATCCGCTCGTCCGATAACAAATTTAGTTCAAGCTGGCTAAACCGACTAGGCTTAACTATTTTACAACACTAGAAGATTAAAAATATAAATAAAATAATGCTCTAATGAACATATAATTTTCGAGATAAAATAGTTTTTTCAAATTTCCAAAAAAATGTTTTATTTTTATAACCTTATAAGAATAGTCACATCCTATTTATTATCATGAAAGATAAAAGTGTTAGATAAAATATCAATTTGAATGCATAATTCTATCATCAAAAAAGGTATAATTTGTTTACTGTTAAAACTCAAAACTTTCGATATGAAGTCAAGAAGGTAATTTGATGGTTTATATATATAAAAAAAGAGAAAGGACCATAAAAGAAATAATCCTATAATTCGTGGAAGTCTACATTAACCCAAATATCATAGTAATGGATGTTTCTATATTTCCATTATCCGTATTAGGTAATCCGCTTTAATACTAAGATATATTGCAAATAAAATTTTTTTACACTAGTTAAAAAATGGGTTGATATATAAATGCTGTAAACATAAGTTGGCAAAAAATAACATTTCCAAGATTTTGTATAAATTTAATTGAAGAAATTATAATAATCGTGGGAACCTCCAGCATGAGCGGAAGGATTGATGAGTTGAATTAAAATTAAGAATTCGATATGTAATGAATATCGGTTCAGATAAATAAAAATATTAAGTTTGTAAAAAAAAATTATATTTTCTTTCAGTTTGAACATTAAAAAGTGGTACTAACTATTTGTACCTATAAAAACAGATTTTTTTATAAAGGTTCTTTAAATCATTATCGTGCATAAAATTATACCTAAATTATTAATTAATATAATAACCAGAGTATTAAATATATATTTTCCTCAAATTCAAACTGGTTCTCAAACTTTTTTAGATTCAAGTTTGGGTGATAAATTATTTAACTGTTCAGATTCTGTGATTAATAAATGTCTATTCCGGTTAAATGGTTCAGTTAGTATCTGCTCTGAATAAGGGCTGTGAACCCAAAATTTTACTGAATCCTGAACTACGAACTTTTTTTTTACAGGGTTCAGACTTTAAAAATTTTTTATTTTTAAAAAGTGGTTTCAATTTAAAAAATTAAATGTAATATGAACAATATCAAATTTAAAATATATTTTTAAAAAAACAAATAAGAATATATTTAATATAGAAAAACTTAAAAAATATTTTTAAAAAGATAAGTATAACAGGAAATTGGAGCGCATATTTCGAGAGAAATCTGCTAATAAAGGTAAAATCTTTTGTTGGAGTCCCCTGTGATCTGTCTTATTTCTTCTCCTATGAATGAAATTGAGAGCCTCACTTCCGAACATGCCTAAGGTATTGGGTAACTATTAAACATTTATCTTAATCATTTTTATTTTAGCATATCTATTTTATATTAATTTAAAATTTTTCTGGACATCGAACCCTAAACTGAGCCCAAATTTGGTTCAGAGATCATTCACTTAACCAAACCCTTTTTTTTAAAGGAGGGTTCACCATGTTCTAAAACAGATCGACTCAATATCAAGTACCCATGCTAACTAACTATGACAGAATAAGTTATTACTTGGTAAATAATTTTTTATTTACATAGAATATGATTATCATATGTAGAGTCAAACAATATTTAACAATTTTAAGGTGGGTTTAAAGTGATATACAGGTTAAAGGTGGGTGATACATTGTTGAGTGGGGTAAGATAACATCCGCTAGAAGGATTAGATTGCTGCATTATTGGGACAAAAAAATTACCGCTGTCATCAACCTCAATATTTAATTTTGGTCACTAGTGTCATTAAATAAACTTCTGAATTTATCTCCTTCCTTTAACGAATTCCTTTCTTTTATTTTTCGTAAATATTAGTAATAAAAATCAAAAAGGCTTAACCACAAATACATAAGGGATAGTTTATTATTATCTTAGCATACATAATTATATCGTTTATATAATTTTTATTGCTTAGTGAAAAACAATAATGAATTTTGTTTATATAGTTTTTATATAATTGAAAATTTTCAAAAAAGAGAAGTTACAAATAAAATATAAAAAATAATATATGCAAATCATAGAATCTTTTGGTATGATAAAATGAGAATTTCCAAAAACCTATTTTTTGGCTATTTATAAATTAAATAAAAAATATTGAATATAATTATAATCAAATTTAATCAGTATCTAGATTATGTTGATTAAAGGTAGATATATATTAAATTAATATTCGTATCCAAGTAAAGATAAGATAATTTTTATTCTTTGTATGCATTTTATTTTATTCATTGATTGTACGATCGCGAATAAAATGAATTAACTCATGATAATATTTGAAAGCCGATTATTATTATGGATGTGGCATATAATAATATGAATTAGAAGGCGTATCTAATGTTAATAAATAATTTCAATTAAAAAAAATTATTGGAGTGAAAAAAAGATAAAGCAAGTCATCTATTCGGCAGCAGCTGCAGTTTCAGCCGGTGCACCTTCTTCTCCAGGGGCATGACGCGAAACTCCTCCAGCCCCGGTTCCTTTCTGCTTTTCAAAATCTTTATGGTAGTTTAGCTATTTTATTAAATATTTGTTTGTTTTTTAACATGATATATGTAAATCAAGTATTGAATATATAGATTTTTTAATATATGATCAATTATTCTTATTTTATGAATATTGGTTATCGGCAGATATCGTTAAATTCGCCTATTCGATATATAGTTTTTTTTAGTCACAAAATGTCCTTTTCAGAAGCGCAGTGACTTTTTCAAAATGTCGAAAACAGTATTTATATTTTAACTATATTAAAAAGGATTTTGGTCATATAGGCAAAATAAGAATGGACAAGTCTGTAATATTAGATATCTCTTAAGTATTATAAACCATTAGTCACACTCACAACACAAGTGTATAAGATTATATAAAATATAGCTAAATATTTCTAGTCTAATTATGGATATATATATATATATGTATTTTGTACTTACATTGCTTTGCATACGTGTATTGTGCATAGCTGTAACGTTGGCAGGTGTATCAATGACAACCGAAGCTTTATCTTTAGGATAGTGACTTTAATTTAGTTATATATAATACATATTGTCATTAATTATTAATTACGCATTGCAGTATGGCATTTTGGTGTATCCTTTGTAGTTCTTTAAGTTTAATGTACATCCACATTCGGTGCAACGAAAACAATTTTTATGGTATATCTAAAAAATATTAACTTATTAAAATATTAAATACTATCAATAGTGTTGTTGTTTAAGTATATAGTTCCAATTTTTCTTAAAAAAACTAAACTAGTTACTTTTTATATTAAATATCTATAATATACATCCCTGATATGGTAAGTAATGATAACCTTTCTAGGTTGTATATATGGATATGCCGTTAGTAATTGGAATTTAGGTTATAGTATATTTAGCATTAAAATAATCATTTATTGCGCACATTTTTTAATTTTTAAGACTTGATTTTGTGGAATTATATTGCAAGCTTGTATAAGTAAATCTTAAAATGTTATTTAAGAAAACCGACAATTTTCGGGGTATATTTTTTTTAAATAATCCTGCCTAAACGTGATAAGAAGTATAGCAAAGTATTCGAATGGCTAATGGAGGTTTAAAACTAAAAGGTTCTCTGATCTGGATTAGAAAAGAATAACTGTTTCCTCAATATTATAATGGGCAACTACGAAGGTTTATTCACAAAAGATAGATGAGGTAGGCTTAAAATGTCCTTGAGTTTCCTCATCAGTCTGACATAAAAAGTATGAAGAACTCTGTACCCATGAAAACAAGACTTATAAATACATGGAATTATGCGAAGAAACTGATAAGATTGCCTGGTATAAGAGTCGATATGTTTAATTTTGATAGCATAAAGATTTGGTAGATAGCGGGAGCGTTAAATAAGGATAGCCGCATGAGGACTTTAATAATTGTTTGTAGAACATGTGTGAAAGGAGTCGATAATAATGATATATAAATTGGTTAAATATCAACATGTAACTAATTTGGAGGTTATTTGAGTAGGTAAGGTGGGGGAGGGCACTATTAGGTGGAGGTTTCTCAGTACAAATAATTTTGAGTTTTCATTTTTTTAAAAATTCATAATTATAGTCTTTATTTTAAAAAATAAATAACCTTTACTAATTTTTCTTTCAGATTTCTTGATTATAGTGATATTATTATATACATTTTTTGGGGAGAGAGTGGGGGTTTTTGTAAGAGAATTTTTTTATACGAGAACAGGCAAATTTTTGAAGAGAAATTTCCACTCCCCTATTCGTCTACGTCTATGGTAAAATTCATGGGGGGGTTGTAGACTCTGAGGTGCTGCAGGGTCAGATATACATAGAAAAAGTTCCGAGAGATGAATTCTATTACTAATCAAACTCTCTGAATTAGGAAAGTTTTACGTGAAAATGGTAAGATAGTTTGCGGTATATCCTAAAGAGAAATAAAAAGCAAAAAATTAAGTTAAGTCTAAGGGCTTGAAGTCGCGTTGAGAAGAAATACAAAGAAACCTACTTACCTTATAGAATTAATTATGATATCTCTCGTCCAATAAATAAAAAAATTGGTTATAAAAATTCCTGATTTTAAGTTTATTACAAAAAAAAGGTTAGTCGGATAATTAATCTTAATATAATTTTGTGATGCTCAAAATTAAAGTAATAATTATATAAATAAAGTTTCTATTTTATATTAAGATTTTTAATTTGTATTTAACAATAATATGTTTAAATTTAAAATAACTCTTGTATTGCAACGTTTAAATATGATACTATAAATATGAGCCCGGGAGACAGAATATATAAATAATTTATAAGCTAATGTCACCATGGTGTTAAAGGTTTTGGTTCTACTCGACATAATTTAAAATGTGTATTTAATTTTATATAGCATCGATTTAATTTATTTTAGGTGTAATCGATGTAAAGGAAAGGATAAGGTTTAATTATTTATAGTTATATTTAATATTAATAAGTATTCGTCGTTAAATAATTTTTTTTAGAGAATTCTCGGAGCAGAGGTAAAAAATTTAAGCCCGGCAATTAAATTTTTTTTATTTTATAGTCCGGCCTGGATATTAAATTTTAAGCCCGGCCCGAATTTTCCAATTCAAGAATTTTCCAAATTAATTATTTTTGAATAAATTTTGTAAATAGTTAAATTAAGGAAAATTATTTATGAGCACTAATTTCCCTCCATTAACAACTGATTAATTGATGTTAAATTAATTTTTTAAAAGTAAGCTTAGCTTTTGTAAAAATAATATCTTTATACTCAGCACGGGTTTGTAAATTTTTTTCACTTTTAAGGCCTGGTCCAAATTATTTTGAATTTTACAATAATTGTCATATCATATAAATGTTTGTCAAAAAAAATATTTATCTTTTAAATAATCACTAGCATAAATAAATTTGAATAAGATAATACAATAATAAAATATAATTTTACCTTATCAAGAGCTCTAAGCTCTTCCATGGGATACACGACTTTTTCACACCTTGCGCAAATATTACTCATCTCTAGAATTAATTTGTGATTGATCTAATAAGAATGTTGAAGATTTCTCTGATTCAATCGATGATTCATATTTTTGTAAATAATATACGGTTATTATTTTCAAATTTTAAAAAAAAAATAAAAATATTACTTAAAATTTATAAATATATTTTTTAAGTTATTTTTACCTTCAAATCTGTTTACAATTTTGATTAACCAATTTGTCGTAAAGATCACGAAAATAAAATAAATAAAATATAACCAATGGGAAAAGAAAACAAAAAAAAATATATTTCGATTAAAATATTTAAAAAAAAGGAAATTTAAAATTTGTTATATTCAAATATCATCAAAAACTAGAAATAAAAATATAGACCTCATAGTGTATAGTGTGTACTTACTATAGTAAAATGTTAAAAAACAACTCGACAATATGTTGATTATCAAAAAAAACAGAGGATTTCACAGATGAGTCTGATTAAAATCTGTCTACAGCTTTATTTAAACGACATTTTTTTTAAAACGAGAAAAAATAAATACAGCTTATAAACTCAGTTAGAAATCACTCCAAATTTAAAACAGAAATATAGAAATTTTATTAAAAATACAAGTAAATTATAAATCTATCTAAAAATTTAATATTTGTTACCTTTCTCTCATCCTAAAAAAATAGGTTGAATTTTTTAAAAAAACCTCCGAAAACGAATCACATGTTATCTTAACAGTCGACTAACAATTATTAAAATTAATTATTAAAACATTATTCGATAATTACTATAAATTCCTGCACAGACTTGTATTTTATTAAACTCAGTCAAGATTTAAAAATTTTCGCTCGCTTGAGATATAACCTCGCCAAAATGTTTAAAATTATTTTCAAAAAAATATTTCCGTGTTCTTTATAAATCCAACTTTTTGCTCAGTTATATTCTTTTTTTGGAATCGAATTTCGAATAGTCAGATCAGTATAACAAATTTATTTTTATATTTTAAACTTATTCATTGATTAATGACTATAGATCGCATCCTATTCAATCAAGCAAGTTTTTAGTGATAACGAAAATAGACGTTATTAAATAAATTAATTTTTTTTTAGATTAAATTAAGGTTAGTTAGAACAAATAAATATATTTTTAATTACATAGCTAAGGAGCCTTAGTTCCTTAGTTAGTTATTCTTTATAAAGCTATGGACAGTTATATAGAGTGGCGTCGTAGCCTTTACAATCTCAATAACCTTTTTTAAGGTGTTTAAAAAAAATTAGGAGGGGAGGCTCTTCAAATTTTTCATGGGGTTTAAGCCCCTAAGCGCCCATCCCCATGTATACAATAAAAGGGGCTAAACAAATTAAAATATTATTTTAATTTAATACATATTGAAATTAAATATGGACAAGCAAATAATTAAGATTAAACGTCATGTTTAAATACAAAATGAAATTATGCTGGAAATTTAATTTAAAATAAAAAATGTGTTAAAATATTTATAAATTTTCTAAAGTAATAAAAAGTTTAATATAGAATTTTTATTATCCAATAGTAATATTATTTTTCCAATTTAAATAAAAACTCCCAATCTTCGTAGAGAATTCAATGACCAAAAAGAATACGCAAATATTGGAACAAAGAAAAAATTGTTATCAATGCCTGAAAAACAACAAATGAAAATCAAAGACATCGAAGAATAAGTTAAAATGTCTACGGTATTGGTTCATAAATTTAGATGCGACACATTCCCAGAGATAAATGGAGATCCTCTAAAAGAACACAGTATTCAAATAAGAGGAAGTAAGAAAAAAGATATTTCCAAAATTGAAGATACATCATTAACTTATTAACGGAAAATAACACTCTTACTATCAGGTGATAATATAAAATTTGCCCCGAAAACAACCATTAGTAAATAAAGGTTGGTCTAAAAAGAGCTGCTAAGGAGCTTAATAGAATAAATATTTCCGGGGAATCAGTCCCCGCCCTAATTCAAGAAATAAAATTGTTGGAATATTATTTAGCTCTTACATGGATTTATTCCTTATGATTTTACTAACTTTTACAACAAAGCTATTGCATACAACTCATTAATTAGGTAATCCTCATAATTGATTTGTATTAATAATTTTAATTCTTGTAATTAAAAAAGATTCCTTCCAACTAGATATAAAAATAGTACTATTTACTACGCATAAAAATAGTCCCATACTGATAGTTATTTATATTTGGTTTAAAGAAAAAGGATTTTGATTTGGCCAAGGCCTGATGTAGGCTAGTAAAGAAAGTATTTATATATTAGATATAAGCGAAAGCTTGATTTAACTAAGGGTTTGTTCCAAGAGAATGAAATGCTAATCGCAATTATTCGTTTAAAGAAAGGTGTCTTATTTCTGCTGCTTAAATTCAATTTAAACTAATGGTGATGGTTATTTTTTTTAGAAAATATATTGGCCTAATTATATCTAAAACGAATTACTCATTATTGGAATGTAAATAGATAAAAAAAATCGATCAAATTATTAGCAAATATTTGAAATTATTAAGTATTTAAATGTTCATTGAGGAACTTTTTATTTTTTAAAAATTTCCTGTAAATTTTAATCATTTTTTTACTCTTGAAGATATTTTTTAGAGAAAATCAATATTTAACAAATTCGAATCGAATAACAATTTAATTATTCTTAAGAATACGACAAGAAATTATTCAATTCAAAATATTTCGAATCGAATAAGTACAATGCAATTTTTTTAATCGAATACAAATAATGTCATTATCAATTTGATTTGTTTTTATAGGCATAGCCTGTGAGTCTAATAAAAAAAAAGTAAGTAAAATTTTTAGTAAAAAAAAAAATTATTTTTTTATTTATTTATTTTCTAAAAGAACTGTTTTTCAAAGTTATTAATTACAAACATTTGGATTGTCTTTTATGGAATGTGTCCTCCGAATTGTTTTCAAATTTTTATATTATTTAATGAATGAAAGCTATAAAAAAAATCGATCATATGTTTTTTATAATAAATTCTTATAACATAAACAATCTTAGAACTTTTTAATTAAATTGATAATGAATTATTTATTTCTTCTTTATAAAAAAAAAGAAAGAAATAACTTATTATATTTTGCCTTGAAATCCAAATTCGTGTTAGTTTTGTAAAATATTTAAAAAACGTATTGCGTAGTTTTAAATTTAAACTATGAATTTAATTTTGTGATGACTGATAGTATTTAATTTCTCCTAGCCAAAATGTGGTTATAATTTATAATATATATATATGACATGCGATTTTAGGGATAATTTTATATACATGATTTTTTTTTTCACCTGATGGTTAAATTTTTTGGCTAATAATTAATTCATATATTTAACTTTCAATGATGCTACTAATTAAAATATAAAATATAACAGAAAAAATAGTAAGGAAATATAGAAGAAAAAGACTGAACAATTTTTTTTTTATAATAATTTATTACAATTTTTCACACTCGAAAATTTATAAAAATGTAACATTTATACATACAAACAAAACAATCGCTAGTATTAAGGCATTTTGGCATAAAAATACGTTATAGTTTTATTTATAAAAATATGAACATCAGATATAAAATTTCTAAAACACTTGGTACTGTATTTTATTTTATCTGATTTTTAAAAAAAAAATCTCTATGAATATTATTTAAAGAAAAAAATTTGTTGATGTTTGCACACAATATTAATTCCAAACTTCAAGGGCATTTTATTCAGAAATTATATAATAAAAATATCATGTTAAAAAAAACAATTGAAAAAATCAAATTAATACAATATATACAGTATAATTAATAAAATTTACTATTTTAAACGCAAAAAATATTTCCCATTCAACGTGAAATGAAGGGACTAGTTTACTTAAATTTCACACTAATTTTTATTTTAATTAAATGATCTTTTATAAGATAGCTAAATTTTTTAATTTGCTTGGTCCTAAATGGGCAAAAGTATATAATTATTTTTTGCTTTAAAATTTATATATTCGAAATTTTGACGAACCCTCTACTGATGCCATTGGACCATTGACGCCGTAACCTTTTTTAACTTAAGAGGGTTTGAGAATTTTCAAAATTAACAAAAAATGTTATTCTTTCTCAAAATGAACAAAAAAAGTAAATTTTTATCTAAAATAAGAAAAATTTTTTTATACAAAATGAGCAGAAAAAGGAGGTATTCAATATTTTTCAAGGGGCTTGAGTCCCCGTGCTCCCCTTAAAACGCTATTGATTATTATTCAGATACGAAGATTTTTAAAACGATAAAAAAAAGACGTAGTCTATGTTTCCAAACAGTCTTTGTTAAGAGGAATTTATTTTTGTGCAAAATACTATAATTTCTATATAATATAGTAAAAACAACTATATTTTATTAACTGAAATTTACTAAACGATAAGTGTTATCCAATTTGATAATTGTTAGAATTAACAGCAGTAAATAATACTAATCTGATGGTGGTTTGCATATGCTTGACTATAGAAATGGTTTACTTTGATCCACTATTTTATTTCATAGATGGTAATATAGTATTTAATTCAATTGCAGTTATTGTTTTGCGCATATTTTTTATCAATAACAAAAAAATTTTCAACCAATTTATGATAATTTTATAGTTCCCTTAAAGGCACAACACCGACATAAACTATTGTAAATATAATTTTTAACAGAACGAAAGGTCCGCAGTAGTGTTGTTAAACGGCTCGTTTTGAGCCGATTTTTAAAACGGCTAACTCACTATTTTATCCAGAATAATTTAACTCAAGCCTGAAGATTTTGTTTGTAGAAGGAACAAATTGGACATCTATAGCGAAATCTCAAGGCTTAGGCTATATTTTTCAGGCTAAAATATTGAGTTAGCCGTTTTTAAAAATCGGCTCAAAAGGAGCCGTTTAACAACATTAGTCAGCAGTATAAAAGTTTTAAATATAATATTTTATTTCAATAAAAATATCGAACTAAAAATAAAATCAATCAAAGTAAGCAAACACAAAAAAAAACAAATCACTTTTTAAAAATTAAAATATTCAAAATTTATTTCGTGTTATGGTTGTGTCCGTAGGGTGAGGGGAGGGGTTAAAAAAATTGATGATGCCCTCCAATTTTTTTTAAATATTATAAGAATATCTTAAAATAATCTTTTTTCCTAAATTTTAAAAAAATAGTTAAATTCACTCCCGCTTATCTTCATCTTTCCTTTTATCAGACTAATGACGCCTACTAATCTACTAAAACTACAGCCATGATAAATAATCATAGTTATTGCTTTCCTTTAAATTTATTTACATTTATTATAGAATTCAATTGGAATTAGAGGTGCCATTATGAATGAGGTTATCAATAAGAGCCTTACCCAATTTATTATTTTTTCAGACTTTATAATAGAGAAATTTTAACTTGTATTACAGATTTATTTATTTATCTTTTCTAATTTTGCTCGCTTAATTATATCTTACCCTGCCCCATAGTCACAGGGGACAAAAGAATTTCGGCCTTTAAACATGAAATGAAAATCGCAAAAGGATTATTAGCGATTGAAGTAACGGAAATAAATGTACAAGATTTTTAAATTACTATTAATATTATGGATTATATTGCCTTTTACGAATTATATTAAGTTACTCAGGAGCGCGCTTATCATTGGGGTATCAATAACTTCTTCTGAGATCTCATTCTCCACATCTAAGATGGTTTTATCGGAGAATCAATGAAAGATGGATGAAAATAGAAAGTTGTGATAATGACTTATGAAAATAATTAATCCAAAACTTAGCTTTTATGTTAAAATTTAAAAATAAAAAACTAATTTTCATTCAATAAATATCAAAAATATTTATATGACAGAGTATTCGACCCTTTTTGTTTGTTTTCAAAAAAAATATTGGCCATTCAAAATACCCCCCCCCCCCCTTTCCCCAGAAATTTCCAGTTAACGGATCTAAACTAAATTTTAAAAAAAGTAAAATAAAAATAACCACGGGAAAACAGAAAAAATACCTAATCAAAATTTCATAAGCGAGAATCGAAAGAAGGCTTGGCAATAGGGAATTTGGGTCAGTCCTTATAAGAATTTCCCTATTATCCTCCCCCTTTGATAATAACAATGCCATTAAAGAGCATAACATTAAAATATCACAATTAATTTATAGAAGAAAGAAAAACAAATTTTGACAAAAAGTGGATTAATCCACTATACTCAGTGTTGTATTGGAGGACACACAAGGGCATACCGTGCCCTTGGAAATTCAGAATAAAATTAACGTGCCTTTTCTAAAAATAGGGCACCCTTTTGTAAAAAAAAATTTTAATATAATTTTATCTTAACATATTAAACATTCTGTATTATTGATAATCTTTTCAGGAAAAAAAATGTGCGGGGCCGTGATAATTATTCGAAAACCAGGATAAAAATAAATTTAGCAAAATTTATGAAAATTTGATGAAATTTAATAAACAAAGGATAAATAAAAAATTTATTTGTTGGAAAGTTAAAATTGGCACTGAATTATTTTGGTTAAAAAAAAATTTTCTTAGAATAGTTCAAAATCGTATTTACGAATAAAAAATAATATTTGAATTTTTTAAAGATTGGCCGGGAAGATTGAGGGGTCTGTATTTTATTAATTACAAAAAAAATTTTTAACGTCTATAAAATGAAAACAAATATTTTATAAGTAAAAAAAATCAGATATCCTAGAAATGAAAAAATAGGAATTGATTATTTTATTTAAAAACTTGCCAAATCCTGTTGTTTCAATTTGACAAAATTATAAGCCACCATAATTCGGTAAAAATGAGTAACTTCTCATTTTATCTAGTGGCCCTGAAAATACTTTATGGCAAAGAGCGTATTTATTATCAGTGGCCAGGAAACTTAAGCTTCGTTTATAATAGCGTAGATGAGCAATTCATCGCTAAACGATAACACGTATCTCTTATGCGACATCGCGGTATTTTGCGCCACTTATAATAAACGAGGCCTAAACTAAGCGCCAATTTCAAAAAAGTAAACACCTACCAAAAGTGTAAAGAAGTTATATAGAGATCAAAATAAAAAAAAATAATAATGTAGTAAAATTAATTAAAGCAAGCCTAATAACCACATAGATTTCAATTAATGAACTATGAATTTAATACATTATATATTTGTTAAATATTAAAACTTACCAATTTATTTTCGAATTTCTATAATATAAAAATGAAATAAATTATGAACGATAATATTGTGTTTGTGTTATTTTATTATAATAAATATTTTGAAGTAATTATTGGATTATATTATATAATATTTATTTTAGATAAATAAAATTTGTATATTTTTAAAAAAAATAAATTTTTGTTTATCTTATTTTATAATTGATCAATAATATATCCACTTTAAAAATTAAGATTTAATAGTTGCAAATCTCAAATATGCAAAATCAACAAATATTTAAGATTTTTCAAACAGAAAGTTATAAATTTTTTTTGGCCGGACGAAATATAACATTGTTTTTGAAAAATAGAACTGAACTAATTTTTGGGGAAAAAATCGTTTATGAACGAAATTTCAATCACAACAACTTGTTAACCATGCTTTAATTCATATTCCGCCAAATTTCTAATTTTGGTAAGTTCATATTTTTTTAAAAATGGTGTCAACGGATTCGAATTATTTTTTTAAATCGAATGGGCAAAAAAAATCCCTTTTACGCAAATAATTTATTTAAACCACTATATAGGCCTGCGCACCGATTAAAAAATTAAAGGCGGCGTTTTGCTCATTAATTAATAAACATTTGCCCCATAAAATTTAATATTTTCATCAAATTACAATTTAATTTATTAATTTTTCATTTAAATTTTGATGTTCATATTAAGCCAAGCAGACGCGTAACCAATGGGGGGGGATCCCTCATCGCAAATTTGACTGTTTTCATAAATATTATTTTAAGCTAATAAAAATTTTACCCACCCACCTCCCCCCCCTCTCAATCAAAATTTTGCAATTTCAATCATTTTATCTTGGCTGCTAATTGTATTAATAAATTTTTCCTATAGCTCACTACTTTGTAGAAATTTACAAAAACCAAATTTAAATTTGTTTCAGGTTATTGATTTGGCGGAAAATGTATATGAACAGGTAAACACAATAAGAATGAATGTAGATGAATATTTTCATATTTATCTAGACGTTGAATCGAAAGCGAAATATTATGATGTAACATTAATAAAACCTCGTCTAGCACCTAGGCAATTATTGAGATGTAATATAAATGTTACTCAACTGAAGAATATTATAAAATATCAATTTTCATCCCATTCTTAGATACTTGTTTATCGCAAATAAAAGTACGGTTTATAGATAAAAAAAACAAGTCTTAGCAATCTTCAAATTCTATTACCTAAAGACCCTTCTTCGTTTTCTTAATGCCACTATTGGTAAAATTAAATATTTAGCAAAATTTTATTCCTATAATATTGATATTGAAATCAATTTAATCAGTGAATTCGAATTGTGGTTTAAATATTTACTACGTTTGGTTATTTTACCTGAGCATGCTAGTGATGCGCTCAATCAGTGTAAGAAAACCTTGCCTCAATTACCAAATATTTGAAGTTGTTTTATATTCTTGCATGTTTGGGTATTACAACATGTACGAATGAAGGGACCTTTTCCAACTTGAGAAGGTTGAAAACTTATTTACGAAATACTACTTCCGAATCTCAACTAAATGGGTTAGCTTGTTAAATATCCACAGAGATTTGATTCCAACGACAAACGAAATTCTTTATAAAGGCATATCTCCCTTGGAAATTAAAAATCTCATTATAATTATAATATTTAATAAATTTTTTGTAAATTTTATAAAAAAAAAATGACACTAAACTTTATTTCAATTTTACATTTTAAAAAATTTTTTTAAATATAATATACCTATAACTTAAAATAATAAAAAATTGGGTTATAGCCTTTATTTCTTAAATATCCCTAAGCGCGAACTAGTAAGTAAATGCTAAAAATATTAATATAATTATTATTGAAAATTAGGAAAATCTCGCCACTGAAGCCAAGGTTTGTTGGTCACTATAATCTCATAATATTCGGGCAATAGTTGATTTCCAGCGACTTGTTTGCACATCATTGTTCAAATATATAAGTAATCATAAATGCGGTTATTAATAAATGTTAGCCTCAATCTTTTGTGTTACCTGACAGAAAATTCTGATCATATCATCATAAATCATAATTTTTTGGATCACTTTACCCCGGTAATAAGAATTGAGAAATTCGTCGTCTTTGTTACGAACTTCCCATAAGAAATGCGGATTTTTTGTCCATGGGAGAACGCCGTTTAATTCTTCCCACAAATAAAAATAAAGAAATGCGGCTTTTTTGTCCATATGAGAACGCTGTTTGATTCGTTTTATATATGAATACGATCGAATATACCATCATGAATTATCATATTTCTGAAAAATTTATACACTAGAATCATTTCCTATATGATTTTTAATGATTCCAAATTATTTTTGGATAATATAGCAGCATCGCGTCATCCCTCTGAAAAACGATTTCGAATAATTTGATGTGATAAATATATTCTATTCCGCGATTACTTTAAAAATAAAATCTCTTTATTGGCACTTGAAAACCTATTTATTTTCTTCCTAATACAGCCAATATCGAATAATTCCTATATGAAATTTATTTTTTTTCTAAAATTATATTTAAAATTTTCAAAGATTTATTATTTTATTTTTATTATATATTAATTCTGAAATTTTTTTCCTTGCAATTTTGGAATATTTATTTTATTTTTGATAGTATAGTAATTTCTGATAATATATTTGCCTAATAGCAGCCTCTTCTCCGCCCTTTTGATGGTGAAAGGGAGTATACTGCATTAAACAATGATCATTTTGCCGCATTGATATTATAGCGATAATAACTTTGCTATTTTCACATCACCCAAAACGAATTCGATCATGATCATGGCACCATTTTCATAAGTCAAATAAACATTCCATTGTAATGTGATTCTCCAGAGATAATTATGTTTACTTAATTTAAATTATCGTATATTTTATTTGAATTTAAGAGTATCGGGTGATACTCTATGATTAAATTTTAACTATATTTCTTGTCTTATAACATAATTATACATCAATTTTTACAATAACCAATGAATGATCTTTTTTTACAATTTCTTTTTCAATGTAATAATAATTAAATAGCTCTATTAAGAGAATACAATCACTGCGACAACTGACAAGATTGTGTAATCCATGCCTCAACAACCGAGAATTTTTCTTGACATTCGATTTTTCATTCATGACGATTGAAATTTTTTAGATAAAATCTAGGATCAAAAACAACTTAAATCATGAAATATTTAGGAAATTTCCAATGAGTATATATTCATACCAATCATATCCACAATCTTACAGTATTTAGGAAACTCCTCGTCCTTAATTCTTCAATAACTTAGCTCACAAATTAGTTGGCTCATTGAAGAACACCGAGAAGATTTATTATTTATTTCTCAGATAAAAACACGATGTAGAAATATTAAAAGCCAATTAATAATATTAACTTTAATGAAAGTTTAGTACTCAAAGATTCTAATTAATTATTTTTTCTCTGATTTTTATAATGTAATTAATATATATATTAATTATAATTTATAAGAATAGCAGAAACAAACCTCTCACGCCGCCCACCGATAAATTTTAAATCGGCGCCAAAAATTTGCCAAAAAAAAAATCCGTCACTGGTGACGTATCGGTGCACAGATCTACATAATAATATAATTTTTGATTACTCAAATTAGCCTTGAATTTGTAAAAAAAAATATTAGTTAATAAGAAAATTGTTGAGCAAAATGATTCGAATTTTTAGTTTATCAATATAATAATAAGCTTCGATACGATACGCACATAATATGTTGCGATGGAAATGCAAGATATCAAAAGTATAGAAAATACAAAGAAAAATATCGGATGCAATATCGCGATAGATAAAAAATTTGCACAGGTGGTGTAATATTGTCAAAATATTAAATAGTATGGTTGGAATGGAACTATATTTAAAACAGAACTGCATAATGAGCTTAAATAATAAAAAAAATCGCTTAACCTTTAGTATCAAGATATTTTAAGTTCTTATACTAAAATTCGACTACATATTTATAATAATTCCCTTCAAGATCGTTCAAAATAAACAGAAAAACTTAGCTAAAGCATCGATAATTTGAAGCATATGGTACCTGCTCTATCCCTATTTTGCGTATTATAAAATACGTCAATTCCTATTCTGCGAAAGATTGGTGAAAAGGGTATTTTTTAACTGACAAAGATAGTTACAATCGTGAAGATATAACTACATGGGAAAGTACTTTATAAAATAGACCAGTTATATCACTATTCGTTCTCTATCGAAGTACACAGAGATCTGTCATCGATGTGCCAAAAAAAATCAATTAGGTTTTGTTAGGATAAATTCCGGTTCAATCCCGATTTAATTAAATTATGGGATGCGAACTAGAATTTAAGCGTTGCATAAGAACAGACAATAAATTTCCATTTTCTTATGTTAAAATATATTTGCCCTTCCCTTGCCATCGTTTGTCTAAGCAGAGCCCTGTCGACTCTTCAAGCCAATGAAGTTAAAGCGACTAAAATATATAAAGTATACTGATTATTAACTAAGTACTAAGAGGGTGCTCATATTCAATGAAGCAATTGAATCGTAACAAACTTATAAGGCTATGGCTCTTAGTCAATTCAGTTTCCTTCTATTAAATTCAATTTTTTTTAAATTTAATTAATTCTAATAAATGTTTTTGAAAACTGAGTTACAGAGATCTGCAAAATAGCTATTTTTCGACCCGAGCTAGCCCGCGGTCCGGTAGCAGGATTTTTATCTAGGCCCGGGATGTGGCGGCCCGATTTTTAAGAAAAGCTTATAGGAAAGATTTAAACTCAAAATTTTAATTTTATTCTATTAATTGCAAAATAAAATGTAAAAATAATTCCCACCTGATTTTTTTAAAAAAAATTTTCTTATTTTTCTTATACCTTAAATTTATTAATTGTGTTTTTCAACCATCAAAGCAAGGATAAATAGGAAAGAAATATAATATTTTTAGGGCCACAGGATGGGCCTATAATTTATCGATGAAGTTATTGTCGGCTCTATCGTATTACCAATTTTCCTTGTCGAACTAAACAAATCAATATTTGGGTTAGAGCCGCTATAACCAATAGTCTGTAGGCCAAAGGAAATTAATAAAGGGTAAAATAATATTATAACTAAATTCATTTTTTTATTTTTCACAGTTTAGTAGTTTTATTATTATTTTTATAAATAATTATCATGTCAAACATTTTTTTAATGTAGAAAGATGAAAAATATATTCAGTCGGATTTTTCTCTAGAATTAAAAAATACTTTTAAATATTTAAATATGACTTGTTACAATTATTACAATTTGGTTTTATAAGTACTATAAATGTTTTAACAATTTTAAACATATCTAATTTTTAAAAGTAAACTTATAGTTGGAGATATAACTATACAGAATAAATACCCTTTTTTTAAATATATCTAACGACAGATACATAATTTATGGATCTAGATACTTTAATAAGTGTTATGTTAGTATACCAAAATTCAGATATATAGTTTTTTGTTATAGTACTTCATAGTTGAGTAGACAATTTTAGCACCTATTAATTTGGATTCGTTATGATTATTATATTTGTAATATATATTTCATATATAAATAATAATTATAAATATATTACAAATACAAAACACTTTATATATGATCCGAAATGTTGTGGAATAGCCCAGGCTACAGGTATATTTTATTAATAAATATTCACGCGAAGGAAAAGTAGAGTGAATTCATGAGAGATCTTAATGGTCCTTTAGCATATAACAGTCCCACCAAAATACCAGATAGATGTCCTAGAAATGAAGCTTCTGGAACCATAAATGATATTAGTATTAGCTCAGCCCACATGGCATATTTTGAAGGAACTGGAATCATTCCCATTACGAAAATGGAATCGGTCGATGTGTATTCGGTTGTTAGGACTTTTAAAGCGAAGATAATTCCTAATATTTAAAATAAAATACAATTTTAATAAGTGTTTTATAAAATATTATTCATAAAATTAAATTTAGTTTCTTTGAACTGTAGCTTTGAAGTAGCATAACTTATAATATCTGGGTTAAAAACTATTATAATAAATAAATCCATGCCACACATTGTGGTTATTGAAGTAAAGTTTCGACTAAAAAAATAGTTAATTGTATAAAAGAGAAAAGATTGAAATAATTAAATTAAAAAAATATTCAGAATATAAAAAATATAATCAAAACGAATTTTTTCAAAGCCAATTATCAATTTTTTCATGAAAACAGCTGTTTATTGAAACAAAAAATTTTATAAACAATATTTAATTTATATGTTTTTCATCTGTTTATGCAATATTGACTCGATGGCAGTTATAATTTTATGGTATAGCGAAAAATATAAAGGAAAATTAAAATAATTGTTTAGAATCCTAACCAAAGCTTTCAGAGGGCTAGGCCCTTTCTTCCACAACGATGCTATTGCTAATATATAAAAAAATATTTATTAACTTTTTAAACCAAGCTTAATAAATATTGGCGAATAATTAAAGATTTCAAGTATTTTTACAAAATTTTACTATTATTTGACTAGTATATTTATTTCATTTTTGTCTGTTATAAAATTAACATTTATCCGCAGGGCTGTGCCAATATTAAATATCGGATCGGCATCGATATTGGCCGATGTATTTTTAAAAACTGATCCGATCAGATATTTTTTGTATTATTTTGTGATTGTATATACGAATATTTTTTATTTTATAAATAATTTCATATTAATATATTATTTAATACAATTTATTTGTTGTAATGTTTAAAAAAAATAGTTAAAAAATTTACATTTTTTTCGTTAGACATTTAAAAATCATTCTCTTATTGCAAATAATACAATTTTTAAAAACGGTTAACTAAAGATTTTGGCCAAAAGTAAACTACTAAAGCTTATTGATTTTGCCCCCAGATGGAAGAAAGGTTTGGACAATATTTTGGTTAAAATCTTGATTTAGCTCTTTTTAAAAATCGTCTAAATAGAGCTGTTAAACAATATTACAATTGGAAATATTTAATGTGATTATTAACTTAACTTTTGGAGAATAAAAAATAAAATACACTTTATCATTCGTGAAAGTTAGTGTATTTTAAAAATAGGAAATATTGATATTTTTATGATATTTATATAGATATGGCAAATAAAAAATCATATAAATATCGGATCGGGTTAAAGTAATATCAAATCGGTGAGAAATTTATGGATAGGCACAGCCTTAATCCGCATAAATAATAGAATATCAGTGTGAAAATTATATACTATAATAAACGCTATTTAATAACTCTTACCAACACAAAACTAAGAAATTTTCAACTCCAAATTTTATTCGTCAACTAAAAATATAATTAAAAAAAATAAGTATTCCTAATTATAAAAAATCTCGTCCTTTTATACTTTTTTTGGAAAGAAATCACGAGTTCTACATGTGATATACAAAATCAGGAGACTATTTATAAATATTAAACAAAATAATTTTTTAAAATAAAAATTTTAAATAATAATATGACAATCAGTATGTACAAAATTGGTTTGTATTATTTGATCAGAGATATATAATTTGGTCAGTAAAAAAATGATGTTTTTTATAACTAAGGCTAGTGATAGAAGTTCAGAGAGTTAGAGATATCTCACCTTCACGGGAAGAAATTATTTATATGGAATAGATTAAGACGGTAAGATCAAAGGATTAGTGGTTTGACTAAACTGTAATACATAGGTAAACTGGAAATTCTGCTGGTGAAACTAATTTATATATTGTATTAAGTTTAATAATAATATTTCATTTGTTCTAATAATAGATGGCATGAATCTTTTAATGTAATTATATTAAAAATAATTAGAATAAGAAAATATAAAAATGATGTTTTTTTTTAAAAAATATTATAATATAACAAAATCATAAGCCTTATAAATTTTGTAGACATTTTATTTTATGTAATTATAATTGATATTTCCATATTAAAATTCTTAAAACTAAAATATAATTAATTAATTATAATAATGAATTTATATAATGGTAAATTAATTCAAACAATGCACCTTTTATTTTAGCCAAAATAATGCAAGGTCTCACCTCAAGATTTTGTTAATCCATAAATATTTATATTGTAAATGTTAATCAAGTTCCTCTTACCAGGTTTGAACTGGCTTGTAAATAATTTATATAAATATTTACGGTCCGGCCAGTAAAAAAAAATTGTACAAGTTGCCTGGTTTGGCTTGAAAAAATTCATAAACTTGAATTATGTTTAAAAAATTGAAGAATTCCAAGCTTCGATAAATATGTTACATAGGCTGCCAGGCTGATCCATGGATATCGATGGCATAGATAGCACGAAAATATTTAAAACACTTTTAACATATATATATTACAAATATCCTACCTAACTACCTTTAAGTTCAGTTTTAAATTTCAACAAATTAACTATCAAGCTATCATACAAATATTCCAAAGTACTGTTAATTAATAAAACGTGTAGAGTGATTACCTAGCCGTACTCATCCATATTGATATCTCAAGTATACATAGATTAAAGAAAAGTAAAACAGATCCTCAAAATAAAGTGGGTTTATATTATTTCTGTGTTGAGCTCTCTATTATTCAAAGTAATAATTAACACTGTTACAAGAGATCCGTCAATGGCTGCAATATGAAATTATCCTGTACATGGATGACAGCATAGCTGCTAGATAAACTAGCTCAACGGAAGTATACTCTGAAAGTGAAAAGTTTAAAAATAGATTTTTCCAAAACTAAAATAATGATAAAGCTAAAAGTACTATAGATTGGCCTAAAATACAATTAATTATATATACAGCTAGTTGTGTTCATAAAATAGAACTTTAATTATGATTACAAATTCCAATTAATCTTTTTTATCTGATATTAAGCCTAATGTTTTGAATGAATGTGATTGGCAAAAAATAGTCAGTTTTGATTGATATGTAAATATTTTTATTCACCATTTTCATAGCCCTTTTCTTTATGACAAATATTAAAAAGATTTTAAAAAATTTGAATATAATCTTGCACTTTTGTCCATAATATCTCATCCTTATAAACTACGGAGAGCTCGGAACCTTTGAGATTTTAAGTTATGATTCCAAAACCAGTTATATTAATATTCTAGATTCCTATTTATTTTAAATGGAGGTGGGGAGTATAATTTATTTTTATTTATATCAAAATACATTTACATTCAAGAAATCCATCCAAGCCTAATCGGTTTTTTAAAGAAATTATATTTTCAAAAGCAGTAGACTAAGATTAATGGGTTTATATATATCTCGTGTAAAATAATTTTCCGTAAGGGACTATATGCTGACCGTGATCATCTGTGTCGAAGTTATACCACTATAGTCAAACGTTAAATTTGGTATAACAATAATTTTTTGATATATATGCTACAATTACATGTAGAATATTTCCACCAAGAAGGGGTGTACTTGTTCTGTAATTGTGACAACTTTTTTGATTTGTTACATAAGATGATGAAAAGGGTTGTTTTTTAACTTCCTTTTAAATAAGAGATTCTTGTTCAGTAGATAAACCTGGCGACAATAACAATAAAGTCAGTATAATTATTAGCCGTAATTGCTTGACTTTAGTTCAGGGCAGACCCGTCAACCCGTTGGTAACATCAATAAAATAAGCCCCGCCTGTAATCCAAATAATACTAGTTTTATATTTCCTTACTATTCCTCCTTTTTTTGCCTGATTGAATATCACAATGATAAAATTAATTTTAAAAAGCTTAAATAAAACTTGTGATGGGAAAAAATATTTACTATTCATTTACAATATATTCAAATTATCGAAGGTTATAGCTGAATATTTAAATTTAATGAATAGCATTAAAATAGAGAATAAAATACATATTTTGAGTTTGAGATTTCCCTAAAAGCTTCTTTATTAGAGCTGCAGACCGGATTTAGATCTAAATTTCACCACTGGACAGCAGGCCGGGACTAGATAAATTAGCAATATGCCGTGGGACAGGTTTGGGTAGCGAAAAACTATTTTATAGGTCTTTAATTCGGCTAATATCCTATTGATGAATATGCCGCCTAAAGTTTGTTATAGTCATATTGAATCAAAGTTAATATAAAAATATATATATATTCATGATAAAATATAAAAATAACTTAGAAGATATCCGTATATATTATCTGTGTGCTACCTATTGTTAATGCCATATATCTCTTGAGAATGAAGTGGTTTAAATATTATTTTTATAAATAAAGAAATCAATCAACATTAAGCTTAAGCATTTGGCAAGGATGAAGGAATGAAATTGGCCCCTTCCCTCTCCAATAAAATTATTTATTTATAGAAGGAAAATTATTTTTAGCAGGTTTGTAATCGAGAGGTAAAAATGAAAATAAAACCATAAACATAAATTATTAATAAGCTATTAAATAACACTATTCATTAATACAAAAATTGTAATAGTGATTGGAGAAGATTACCTTATTTTAAATTTATGAAAAAGATAGAATAAGGAATTTTTTATTTATTTAATGATATGATAAAAACATATAAATATAGACCTAAATGCAAAAATAACTATTAAAAAAAATTCTTAGTTAGATCTCCCGGTCAAAGGAAGTAGCTTACACTTTTCAATATATTATAAATGCTCAGTGTATAGAATTAGAATGTAACAATTTAGATATTAATATAATAAATAAAATCGTTACAATCATAAATAAAAAGGTAAACGAAAAAATGTATAAACAATTATCCAGCAGGCGAAATTATCCAGACAGGTACAATTATCCAAATAAGTACAACTATCCAAATAAGTAAAATTATTTAAGTAAGTATAACTGTCCGAATAAATACAATTAGTGAGCTAACAATTATTAAAATAGGTAACAATTATCCAAATAAGTATGATTGTAGTTTTTAGAAATAACTGTAAAAAATAAACCAAAAATGTTTTAGACGTAAAAAGGATATTCATCTGTTAATTAAGAGTGTAATCAGATATATAGACAAGAAATTTTCATATATTTACTTGATGAATAATAATTCTAAAGAAAAATTCAATGTTAACGTAGTTATAAAATGCAAAAATGATTCTCGACACTGGAGCTCGCCAGCATATATTTCACACTATAACAAAAAGTATCGTTTAAATATGTTCAGTTTATTTAAATGGTTTGTATCACTATATTATAAGTGATTTACTTTTTTTAGACTACCTCTTTATTATAAAATTTGAAATAAAACATCCTTATAAAAGTTGGTTAGAATATTTTGAAAAAAAACGGGAGCTAAAGAAATTACCAGAAAATCCAACGGCGCATGTGTGGTCGAAACTAAAATTACCGGTTATGAGGCGAAGGAGATGAGATAATACGACATAGGTCGCGCTCGTGAGTAACGAAAAAACGGTAAGCAAGTAAGCGAAATAAACCGAACCCAAAATAGTTTCAAGGGTTTTCCCTTTCCACAAAAAGGATATCATGTTGTAATATAAATGCATATCGTCGGCGTGGAACAAACTAGCTAAGATTAACCTCTTGACATCTCTGTTGGATATAACGTGTGAAGCACTAATACATACCTTTATTTAAAAAAAATAACATTTATAATTAAAATAATGCTATCTCCCATTTACAAGTATTTATTTTATAAAATTATTGATGATCAATCTATTTTATTTAATTAATATCAGAGGTCTGCAGGTAGGGCTTTAAATATCCCGTAAAATGGAATGTTTTTAAAAATCTGTGGGCCGAGTCTAAAAATTAAAGATTATAAATTAACTAGTTGAAAAATAACACGATGGATCAATTAAACATTGATTCGCTCCTCACATTTTTAATTTCACTATTTACAAAATACAGCGAAATTTATTTAAAATAATTCAATTCTAAAAGTCTAAACCAGGCAGTAAAATGATCAAAATTTAAAAAAATATATATATAAGCCTGGCACAGATACCCCAGGGGGCCAAATCTTTAAAAAAATTCTAGAAGATAGAGGAACAATTAAATCTAGGCCGGGCCAAAAATTTGATCTCTGAATATCTTTAAAGATAATCATGAAGTATTTTCCCTTCCCCACATATGATATTAAAATTTTAGCCTTAAAAAGCCAAGGTATCTTGTTGGCAAAGGGAATTTTAGTGTTATTGAATGGATCGATTTAGCCCATTTGTAAAAACGGCTAACTCAATCTTTTACCCAGAAAAATATAACTACAAATTTTTCTCTCATCTAATAACGAAATCTTGAGGCCTAGGTAATATTTTTCTGCCCAAAGGTGGCAAATTTTACATATAATTGGGCCACATATCAAATCTATAATGATTCGGTTGATTTCCTTCGAATTTACGAAATTATGTAATTAAACTAGGATTTGGGAAAAATTTCAGCGTTCTAGCTGTTATGTATGCCCATTCAAAAACGAAAAAAAATTGAATAATAAATAATTCGTATTTGGTTCTTATGAGTATTGGTTATAATTTAATTATTGATTGATACAAACTATTTCTAATTAGTGTTTAAAAGGTGAGCTAAAATATTTTCCAGGAACATAAATTGCAAGAGTGATTTTAAATTTGAGATGGGAAATAAAAATAAATGATTTAATATATTTTCAAAAGTAACTTTTAGCTTGTTACCCCAAAAATAAAAATTTTTTCAAAAGTAATCAGTTAAGTAGTAATTTTTTGCAAAAATAATAGTTACTCTTTACCTATTATTTTAACAACACTATTTATGTCAGAGACATGCAGACTCAGATCAAAGTCTGGCATGGGTATGGATGAGCCATATTATTATTATTTTTTAAATAAACTTGGGAAGAAATTATTTTTTTTATTAATGACCTAGGCTGGGTCTAGCAAATTATTTTTTTATGAATTCAGACCAACATGGACTGAATATTTTAAATATAATATAATTTAAAATATATCATAGAATGATCTATCACATTCATTCTCTCATATTCTATAATATCATTTTAACTTATATTTTGTTAGAATTTTTTTTAGTTAATAATAGAAAGTAAAATTGTTTTCTAATTATTCCCTAATTATAAATTTTTGATCAAATAATTTAAAATTGTCCTTATATACTCTAGTATGCTAGGTAAATAAAAATAGTTATTAATTTATTAACTATAATTTTATTTTTAATAAAAAATTACATAAACTATAAGAAAGTATTAGTCATTAATACTATTTAAACAAAAACCAAATTCAACTAATATTACAGGTAATTTTTTATATAGATTATTGTCTGGTGGGAAAAGACCAGATAGGTTCACAAACATTCCTTGGTCTAGAGGAAAGCACCTTATCTGGGATTTCATTTATGTCTCCTAATTTTCCTCTAACCCAAACATTAATCCGATTATTCAGTTGAACAAAAATTAAAAAGTATCATGACTTTTCTGATTTTTACTTTAACCCAAAAGACCGTGGGCCCCTAGGGCTCCTATGTATCATTTTTATAAAGATTTAGGTAAAAAAAAACTATCAAATTAAGGAACCTCTTTTAAAGCTGAAATGCAACTCAAATCACTGTATTTCAAGGAAACTATCTTAGTTTTCTTGGCTCAATAAGAGTTCTTATTTTGCCCTTCTCTTATGTTTTTTTAAAATTTATTTTGTCTTTAAAAATTGTTTACTTAATTTATTTATTGTTTTTTTAAGTGTCTTTTAATCTTTTTTTAATATAAATAAAAAATTAAACTTTAAAAAAAAAATATTAGAAAATAATTTATAATATAGCTAAGTAACTCATTTTAATTTGTACTTATATACTAATCATTACAATCTTTAGTTAAACACTAAACATTATAAAATAAAATACATTTTGCCAAAAATGAACACAGGTATAATTTTTTTCCTGTATTAAATGAACAATAATTTTTGTTTTAGAATCACGATAATTTTTCTATTAGATATTAATGATTTCATATTTGCTGAAAAACTAACTATAAAATGCCTAATAGATATATTTTGATAATTTCTTTTAAAATCTATGCCATAAAAAAAATATTATGCACCCAGGCTGGGCCATAAATTAAAAACAAAGAAATATAGAGACCAAAAAATAAAATCCTGTAAATAATTTGGGTTGAGCTATAAAATACTTTTAATTACAAACCCTAGTTAGGTTGTGCAATTAGGAACCTTGGCAGGAATCTGATTTATGTGTAAGAATTAAATAAAAATATATTAGGAAACAATTAAATGTTACCAAAAAATTGAGGCATCACAAAAAACAGTGTCCACTTTCAATCTAATTAGTATTACAAAAAGACATTTTGTTTCTTAAAAATGTCATTATGTCTCAAAAAATAAACCAATAATTTATATCAAATATATTATAAATCAGAACCCTATAAATATAAGGTATAGATTTGCATGTATAATAAAAAAAATTAAAATTCCGTTTATATTCATTAAAAAATAATAAAAACCTTTCTTCATAAAACCAATTATATATATAATACATGCTTTTTGAATACTATTTTTGATATATTACTAAGAATTGCAAGATAAATAACATTTGATATATTACATTGCTTATTGTAGGCACATTTAATAGTCTAAGGTATATTGCAACATTTAATAGTATAGTCCCCAATGTGACTGGTGGTATATTTTGATATCCAAAAGATAATAATTGCATTACTAACAAGAGAACGCCATAATTTTCTTGTCTTCTTCGATTGTACATGCTTTACTTTTAATAACCGGATTTTAAAGGGTGTTTTTGTTAATGAATCAAGTCCATACATTCAAGGTAATGAAAGAGACATTAAATAAATTTTCAAATTTTTTCTGGCAAGAATAGATCTGATATTAAAGAATTTTCTATTTTTAATTTTTTTTTAAATTACGCTGATGCCGCTACACTTTTTGGGCGAATTGGTTGCATTGGCCATTGGCTCTTTTTATTTCTTTCTAAAAATCGAAAATATAACCAAAACAAATATACACCCAAATATATAGCTAAGTTGATTGTCAATTCCTTTTGGGGGAAGGGGGGGTACTATTTTTTAGTAACTAAGCGTCCATAGAAGCAAGGGAAGTCTTGCTTCCCTTGAAATTTATCTTACAAAATTCATAAATAAACTTAAAAATAATCTTTATACTATGTTAAAAAAACTAATCTCTAAAATAAATTAATATAATTTTTATAACGTTAAAGAGATTAATAAAATTTTTAATTTAATAATTTACTATTATTTTTACTACATTAAATATATAATATACGTGAGGGAAGAAAATTTAAAATTGCTTAATAAATAAAGAGAAAAGCATGCTAATGGTAATTTTACGTTTAAAAAAATAAGGGTTGGTGTGGGCATAATTTTTTGTTCACGTTCACTCATGGTGGCAATAAAAAAAAATTCACATCCTTCACGCTTTCCCTAAAAAAATTTGACCCGACCCGCCCACTCACAAAAGACAATAATCACTTTCGTCAAGACCAAAAATTCACGGTGGTGTCTTTAAATTTTTTAAAACTTTATTGCTATACATATGTGCCTCTATGAATTTATACTATAGTTTTTATTTTTCTATTTCGATATAACATAAAATAATTACAATTTATAAATCAAAATTTTTATTTAGAAAAAGAAGAGTGTCCATGTTTTATTAATTTCAATTGTGTTTCCCTTCTCTAATAAGCGATTGATTATAGCAAATTACCTTTCACTAGAAGCCTATTTGGCCAGGCTCACAAAATTTTACTAGATAATTTTCTTAAAAAAAGGAAATAAATTTTCTTTCCAAAACTTCCAAATATTCTCATTGTTATTTGAAGAGTTGGCAAGTACGGAAGGAATATTTGACTTGGTCAAATACGGTCAAATATTCTTAAATATTATTAGTGAATAAAAATATTTATTTAATTATAACTAAAATGTATTTAAAGCATGTTTATTAATTTAATTAAGGTTCCAATTTATTTAAAAATATATTTGTATCATCAAGGCATGGATGTAGTTATAATAAAATATAAGATTTTCATATTAAAATATTAAATTTTCATTTTAAAATATACAAATAAAAGAATTTTTCTCATTAATAATTTGGATCCCTAATCCCACATAAAAAACGAGTTGCTTAATTTGGAAAGCATATTATTATTTAAATCACAACACATGATTTCATAATATCTATACCTAAAAAAAAATTATAGATTTTAGAAAGAAAAAACAATCCAAATATATGAGCTTCCCAAAATAAAGGAAACATCTTACTAGTTGTGAGTTTGATGAAGCATGTAATATAATATAATAATTAGTATAATTATAATCTTTTTATTTAAAATAATTCGTCGTCATCAAAAATGACTTGAAAATAAATCGTCGCCAAATGAAATGTATTCAGAACAATAATATAAAGTGATTTATTTCATAATATAAAATATATATATGTTTTTTTATTTTTATAAATTGTAATAAATTGTAGCTATAAGCAAATATAAAAATCAATTTATATAAATACATTACAAGTATCATTATAATTAATAAGGTAGCGAATAGAGTGGTAGGCATAGGTATTTGAATGGGGTTTGCATCCAGTGAAAATCCTGTCATGTAGACGCTGTCTAGATACCATATTTTTTAAGATTTTTAGAGAATGAATTAGGTTATGTATACCTAAACTTAAAATGAGAGGGCCAAAATGGTCTCCTTGTTGTATACCATCTTTAGAAAGAATTGTATATTCCCCGAATTTGAGAGGGGTTCTACAGCCATAAGACTGTTAATAAATCCTGCATAAACTGGGAATTTTTGATAAAAAATGTTCAAGAATACTTTTCTGAATAAAGAATTAAAAGAAATTTTAAAATCCTGCTTACAGACTACGGCGTCTGAAGGACGATCTTCGATATATATGCGAAGAGAGTGGGCGGCTATTTCGCATCTCCCTTTAGTACCAAAGCCTAGTTAATATGTTTGGAACATTTTTGAAGCATCAGATTTGATGAGCTCAACGATTAACTTAGCTAATAGTCTCCTAAAAAAAGACCCAATTGCAATCGACCGAATTCCACCATCAGGCTTTTAGAAAGAGCAATTAATCTTACACCAAAAAGAATTTGGTGAACTTGACTAGGTAAATCATTGTTCAATATGCTCTCACTAAATATTACCAATGAATTTACAAATGAATCTTGGAAAGGATTAGGGTTAATTAAAAATTGGAAATAAGAGGGGTGAAAACTCTCAATTTCCCCTTCAGAGTTTATATTAAAAGATTAAACTAATTATATTACGATTCTTAATATAAATAAATGATATAACAATTTTTATAGAGGGAACATTTGATATGGATGTTGAAGCCACGAGTGTTGTACAGGTACTTTTGAATGAGAAATCTATTATTTGTTCTAATTGTAAATCGCTTATTCTAAAGCCAAACAAGGCTCAATTAGTAAATACTGAGGTAATAAATAATTAGTATATTATTATATTAAAATGATAAAACTCTTGAATCTTTTATAAATTATATTTCAATAAGAAAATACCTTTATAATTTTTTTTATTATATATTTTAAAAAGGGCATTTAAATGTATTTTAAAAATTTAATTGATTTTTAGGCAATCATTTTTTTTATTGTTTATATATAAATAGCACTAAATAATTATAATCGAATTAAATCCAATTAACTTAGAAATAATATTATTTATTCTTATTCTGCATTTACAGATATTTCTTGTTATGTTTTTTTAAATTTTAGTATAAAAACGATTAATCATATTGCATGCATATTTTACAGAGGCCCCAAATGATCTAGTCTCATTAATTCATTTACTATCGATTTAGATTCTTTCATCATGAGAATTATGAACTGGTATAGCATGGTGAAACTTGCTATTATTCACAGTTCATTATGTGGTTTAAGAATTTGAATATTATAAATATTTGGTAATTTATTTGTAATAAGTGAATTAAGGTTGCAAAATTGGTCCATCAACTATGAATCATATTCATTTACTATTGATTTAGATTCTTTCAACATGAGAATTATGAATTGAAACTTGCTATAATTCACAGTTCATTATGTTGTTTAAGAATATATTAGAAATATTTGGCAATTTATTTGTAATAAGTGAATTAAGGTTGCAAAATTGGTCCATCAACTATGAATCATTTAAATAAACCTTTTATTTTCCAAAAAATCTAGACTTTTCTAAATCTGACCAATTTGGAACATTTTAATTTAACATTTCGATTCTTCTAGAGGTTCTGGCCAAAGATCAAAATATTCAATGCAACATCTATACATATAATAAATTTTATACTTACTAGGATTATTTGACCATTTTTAATATTTGTTTTATACATTGTACTTATAGAAATTTTTTATTTTTAATAAAAAGGATAAAATAAAAATAGATATACATATTAAAGGATTTCTGTGAGGCCTTTAATAGTGTCCTTTTTCAATCTTGTTAGTGGCTAAAAATGCACGTTTTTTAAAAAATTGCATGTATTTGAAAAAGCGCAATATATAACTAAAGAAAGTAAAATCAAATTTTGTTAAACTATATGTAATACAAATTTAGCATGTATAATAATAATCTCTTTTATGGATTATTAAAAATTTGAATCCAAAATTAGCTGAACCTTATTATTAACTAAAATATTATATATTTAAGTTGTTTTATATCACACACTAATATTATTATCCTCTTATATTTTTTAGATATTCTTACCTCATATTGATATCAAAAAATCTATAGGTGATCATACTGAAAAAAATATAGGGGAAAATATAACTCAATTTTGGAGAGTAAAAAGTTCAGATATATATATCTTTGAAAATATTGGTTTCACACATTCGATACCATCTTCTAACTCACCCTTTAAATATTTAGCTTGTGCTGACTGTGAAATAGGTCCTTTAGGTGTTGATAATTTATCCCCACTTACCAATAACAATAATACAGATGATCAAAATTCATTCAGATTTTTTATAGCCTGTTCAAGAGTGTCACTTTTATAATTTACTCATTAATTTAAATATACCTAAAAAAATGGATCTGATTGCAAGCATAATAAAAAAAGAAATAGGATCCAAATGTTTTCATGCCTTTTTTGGTGACCATTTTGATGACAATGAAACATATTCCATAATATCCATGGTTCAATCCCTAATATCATTCCCCATACAAATTATATCAAGCATATTTTTTACACAACCAACTTCTAGCCAACTCAACATGGAATGCACTAAGATTGTGATCAGCAAAGTTCTTAGCTATACCATTATAATGGGTTCACTATTAGTAAAATTACCCCAGATTATTAAAATATTTCAGGCTCGTAATTGTGATGGTATTAGCATTTACAGCATTTTGGTAGAATTGTTGGCCATAACAACCACAATGATTTATGGCTATGCCCAGGATTTTCCATTTAGTTCCTGGGGAGATTCTCTTTTTATGGGCATCCAAACCTTTATAATCGCCAACCTCTACTTTTATTATAATCAACGAATTTTGAAAGGGAGTAATAGTAATAATTTGGCTACTTGTCTTATATTTTCGAGTTTCTATATCTTGATAATTGGAATTTTTATGGCACCCCAACAAGTAATACCATTATATTATATATCGGCCCTTCAAACTTTCAACTTACCAATCGTATTTTTCAGTAAAGCTCTTCAGATATTCGAGAATTACAAAAATTCCTCAACTGGGCAATTGTCTATTCTTTCATACTCATTAATAACTCTTGGTAGCATGGCTCGTATATTTACTTCCATTCAAGAAACTGGTGATACTCTTGTCATTCTTCCATTTTGTTTAGCTTCGTGTCTGAACGTTGTATTGATCCTGCAAATCTTATATTATTCTTCATCGTCAAAAGCTAAAAATTTAATAAGATCAAACAAAGATAACGATCGAAATAAGAAATTGAAAAACAAATGAACCTGAAGAAAAATGAAAACTTTATGTTTAATGATAATGTTTTATTGTTAAAGCTTTAATTGTATTGAAAAAATAAAATTTTATTGTCGAAATATTATAATTCATGAAGGTTAAATACTTTTGTAAAAGCAAAAAATAAAATAGATATAAATTTATTATCTTTTGAAATCTTTATTAACCCATATATCTCCGTCTTGTGGTAGGTCAAACATTACATTTTCCCATTTTTCTTTAGAATTTGAGCCTTTCTTTTCTAGAACTTTCAATAATATATGTTTGCTTTTCTTGGATTCCTTTTCTATAACACTCATACTTCTATCCATTTCAATTATGTCTATCATATCTATAGGATTTTCGAGGGCTTTTTGTTCGAAACTTTGTGAGGCTATTTTAGCTACTGTTAGCGCTGATACATCTTGAACTATTGGCTTATTTTTGTTTATAAATTTACTAATCATAATATGAGTACGAAATAATTATGTTTTTAATTTATACTATTTTTGAAAAAAGAAGCTCTTTTACTTGCGAATTTTTATAATTTCTCGCCAAATTTTTGAAATTTTTTGCAAATAATATAATTTTTATCATTTCATTAGCAAAATAAGAAATAATAACGATTTTGTACAACAATTAATAGTTTAAAAAGGATTTTATCTATTTTAAATGAATACTATTTTTTTTAATCACGCCTATGAAAAATTTGATTGTATGAATTTCCACTCAAATTGTAAAAATACATGTCTGATTTCAGAGTTGTTAAAGGAGCGTGATCAAAGGATCAGCTATCATGGATTCAATTTCCTTTATCGATGATTTTCGTTTAAAATCAGGATGATCGAGATCATTTTGTTGATGAACGATCCTTCGATCTTTACAATAATTTATTTTAACTTTTTCATAAAATATATATATATGAAATAAAATTTTTTAAAATAAAAAAAAATCCTCATATTTTAGCATCCATTATAATTTATATTAATTTTAATTTTTCGTTTAAATTTTAATGAAGACAACATTTACTTATCAGTAGATTTGCAAGTTTTTTAAATATTGAATGATTTTTTGGTTTATCAATGTTTATAGCTAATGTACTAGAAGAAATAATAATTGTTGAACTGCAAAGAAGGAAAATCATATTATCTTAAATTAAACCCTTATCTTATGCTCCATAAGTATTTTACCTTATTAGCAACGGAACGGATGGAGTTAATATAGATTTCCTTCATTTTATAAGAACCACAGTGTTGTAGTAATGATTCACCCAAAATAAGTTCAACTATTTATTAACCTGGCACAGAATAAACGATAAAAAAAAGACAGACTTTTTACTCATTTGGAAAACCAACTTCTATATATCAAGATTCAAATTTCAATGATAGTCTTAATTAGATGAGCTCAAAATTTTCATGTTAAATCACCTAATAATTTTTTTAAAATTCGAATTAATGAATTTTGTAAATTTAAAATAAATCGCTATAATGTACCTTTGTTTTGTTTAGTAAAGTGATACAGTTTACGAAACGGATTGATGTATTAAAGTAAGTGTCTTCAAAAGTTTAATGCTTAAGACTGCGTCTTAATATGAGATTCAGATTCATATCAATTTGAAAATATAACTTGATTCAAAATATAACAAGACTATTTTACTTCTTTATCTATTAAATAAACCGAAAAGAACAAATAAAATCTATAAAGATCTTTGAATCAGGGGAAAATAAACTTTAATATATTTAAACGTATTTAATTTTTAAATCGCAACTCAAAATCCGATATTTATGATTCCGGCTAAGGAGTGCAGTTATAGTTTTTCGCTTATATTCTCTTTATTGATTAGAACTTATTGATGAATTAATAAGTACTAATTAGGCATTACATATTGGCGCACTCATATGAGTAAAAGTACTAAATATTGAAATATGCCACCCCCCCCCTTACCACTTGGATTGAGCAACGCCACAGTACAGTTGTCATAATTATAAAATTATTGGTGAATTTTTTTATATAATTATAAAATATTAGTTACAATAAATTAGTGCAGTTATGGTTTTTCGCTTATATTCTCTTTATTGATTAGAACTTATTGATGAATTAATAAGTACTAATTAGGCATTACATATTGGCGCACTCATATGAGTAAAAGTACTAAATATTAAAATATGCCACCCCCCCCCCCCCTTACCACTTGGATTGAGCAACGCCACAGTACAGTTGTCATAATTATAAAATTATTGGTGAATTTTTTTATATAATTATAAAATATTAGTTACAATAAATTAGTGCAGTTATGGTTTTTCGCTTATATTCTCTTTATTGATTAGAACTTATTGATGAATTAATAAGTACTAATTAGGCATTACATATTGGCGCACTCATATGAGTAAAAGTACTAAATATTGAAATATGCCCCCCCCCTTACCACTTGGTTTGAGCAACATCACAGTACAGTTGTCATAATTATAAAATTATTGGTAAATTTTTTTTATATAATTATAAAATATTATTTACAATAAATTACCACTATAACTAATTTTTTTTTAAATTGGTTTATTTTGCGTTGAGATAAAATTTCTTCAAGATTTTATAAAATAAGCAATCCAGATTATAGAAAAAATCTCTAATTGAAAAAATATTTGTATAATCCATAAAAGGATCGTGATCCTTTTTAAAAATTCGATCCATATTTTTTGAAAAGATCGTTATCGTGAATCGTGATTCCATCCTTTTAAAAGGATCCATTAACAAGCTTGTCTGTTTTTTTAAACCATATTTTAATCCGGAACTTATATAAACATTTTACAAGTTAATAATTATTTATAAAATTTACTTGCAAATTTTAAGCGAATATCATCATTTATAAATAAAATCTAATACCTTTAATAATTGTGGAAATATATGTTAGACCCCCTTTGAAATTGCCCCCTCTCACCAGGTGATTAATTTTTATTCGGGTCTGGCTGATATTTTCGATTTACTAGATTTATAGGCATGCCCTTTTCCAATCATATTAACAAAATTATATGATTATTTCTTAAATTAAGAAAATTTTTACAATTAGACTTTAATCAATCGTGTTTTCTTTTATTGTTCTTGGAAAATGCGTATGTGTTTTTTTTCTTTCTATAGTTATAAAAAAAAGAAAAAAATGTTTATTTTTTTTTTTGAAGGTTTATAAAAAGGTATATACAACTTATCATTAAATTAATTGATAAAAAATATCACACGTTATTTGTTTTAGTGAAATAAAATATTTTTGTTCTCTTAAAGAAATCTCGAGGATTATATGGCTAAAATATTTGGTAAGCCGTTTTTAAAAATTGAGCCGTTTAACAACAATAGTTTACATTGTACTGAACGAAGAGACACTCGATAACTGTTGTGCTACTCCAAAAACTAACCTCGGTGCTGGTACAATTCTTCCTTCAGTATCAATGGTGTTATAATTACCTTAAAATTTTATTCAAAATATATATACTTTACGTTTAAATAAAGGACCGATTTTTAAATTTTTTTGAGTCATATTTATTTTAAAAAAATGTGTAAATTACTTATAAACCTACAAAAAAGGCTAGTGATTAAAGGTCTGCAATGCCAGGCCCCCTTCAGCCTATTAAAAAATTAGGACAGGATCCTCGGGTCCGTTAAATTTTTTAGTACGAATTTTCTGGTCATCAAATTTTTAATATCTCTATCTAATTATTTCCTAATGATTAAGACTCTTATATCTCTCCTCTATGACTATCTATTTTTACAACACCGTTTTATAAATCAATTATGTTTGATTTCTATATTGCATATTTGTAATTGGATCATATCATAAGTGTTTAATTTTTTGTTTACTATATTATTTATTGATTTAATATTTTAGTAAGACAACAGCTCAACACAGAAATAAGCATATTGTAATTTATTTTCTAATAGTATTAATTAAAATGTAGCTTGAAATTCATAAAATATGTCACAATTTTAATTCCAAGGCTAGCCATTAGAATTTTACGAAAAATCAGATTTATAAGGCCCTGCCTAATATTTTTAGTATAGCATCTGGGTTTGAATTTAGGAGTGGGGTTTTTTCTGAAGCCAACTTGGGTACTCTATGCTACGGGGTATGATAAATAGTATATTGGAAAAGACCTCGTGCTGCATTTTATCAAAATTTTATCGCTCCTTAGGAAATTTGATCGTTGTATATATCAAACTAATATATGATGACCACCGCTATATTATCCCCCCCCACCATCTACAATATATCACACCCCGTAGGACTCAGATATCTAATTAGCTTCATAAAAATTGCCGAATTCTCCTGAATTGGAACCCAATCTAAGAGGTAGGTAATATAGGTCATCATCTACTAGATTTTTAGTTTTTTTGTACATAATGATAAATAAACGACGTGAAAAACACAATCTGTAAACATAAAAAAAATACAATAATATATTTTAAAAAATATATTAAAGGAAAGACCGTCATTGACGATTTTTTTAGATATTATATTAATCAGAAAATGAAAAAAATCGGGTTCGTCCGAGTTTATAAGCCTAAATATTTTCTAAATTCTGAAAAAAAAAGCCCGTAACTCGGGTTCAGTTTAGGATAAAAAAATATTGATACTGGTCGATACCTATTCTCTGTATTGGTACACTTCTGATTATTGCTCGAATATTTCAGTTGGAGATATTCGTATAATTTATCAAAAATTTACAAACTTCAAAATAATTATACTTTTTTTAAAAAATAAGGATTGACAAATATTTACCTCTACGTAAAATTCTTTCGCAATACACGATAGACTATACACCAATAATAATACTCCTAAAAGTACACATGAACTAGAAAGTATTTTTCCTGGCTGCCATTCTTGGGTATCGTTTGAATTACTGTTTTCGATCATGGTATAATGTTTGCTCATCCCTATTTTTGAAGATCTTTCCTTTGAAGCAAACGAGGAGTCATGAGATAAATATTTGTCATTCAAAATAGGTTCACCATTACTTAAATGTCTATCTGCTACGATAGCTAAATTGTCCACGGGAGATTCATTATATTTTAAACTTTTTGATTCCATAATAAACTGTCTATCTAAATTTGTTTCACCTTCCTCATTGTTTGGATTATTAGATTTGGTGA